TTTTTTCTTTTACATTTTGTGCTTTTACTGCGTGCTGCAATGAGGTGTACGTGCAACCGAACGCTCAAAATTTGACGTATTTGACTGTAAAAGATCAATGTACAAATGGGTTAAAACTAAAGATTGCGTGTTTCTTGGTTTTTTTCCCCTCTTTTATTCATTTTTGCAGTTTCTGTCGGCACAACTGCGGCTATTGGAAAAGCCGCATGTCGCTTGGGAAAGGTTTTACGAATATTTGTCACGTTTTAAAAATATAAATGTTTTCAAAATAAAGTGATAATTTCGTAAAGAAAAAATTAAAAAAATATAAAAAAGTACCGATACATATATAAGGTATATTGTACATCGAATATTTTAAGGATAGAAATAAAACCAAATATTCACCAATGACAATTTAAAAAGATTATTCAAAAGGAGAAAGTAGTAACATTTCATTTAAAAAAATGAGCAACCATAACAATACCTACTTCTCTTTCAATTTCTCATTTCCATATTGTCAATACAATTTTACCTACCAACTAAAATATAACGCGTGGACCAATTCAAAGTTGCTTATTTTATGTGTAGGCGTGGACTGCTGGACAAAAAAGGTGCACGGACAAAAAATCGTTGACAAAATGTCCTGCAACCATTTCAATGATTTCATCCAAAAGAGATCAAACGGATTTTGAAAGAAACTTAATTTCGGGAATTTGACAGTTACTGCTCTCTTCGCTGTCAAGGCAGCGCTATCGGAGTAAGAAAAGCCAGTGCGCCTTTAATTACTTACCTATGCAACACGGGCATCCATGGCAATAGTTGTATCCAGGCGTTGCCTCAGTTCTGCATGCGCACTCGTTCCAGCCATTCTGAAAGGATCATCGGTGCGCCTTCAAGTATTGCACAATAATTGGATACAACTATTCGTACTCGATGGATGTCCGTGTTGCATAGGCGAGTAATTGAAGGCGCACTGGCCTTCCCTACACAGAGGCTGCTTGAAGTAGCATTTTTTTGTCGTAAAATTACATTGAAACATCGCGATTTTAGCGATTGAATTCTTCAATCTGCGATTGAATCTTTTCCGTGTTGGTTTGAGGAGTTGGAGCGAGTGATATTTCCGCGAATATTTGGTGGTGGTACTTGATTAGTTCTCAGGAAAAAAAGACAGAAGTTCGGCGGATGGAGTTGGATTTCGGCGTGGCAACACGGTTATTAAATAGGTAAAGGAGGAGCGTGAATTGAGGGTAATTGAATCAAGTCGCCCCGGACGTTGACGGTGACGGTCCCACCGCCTGTCCCGTCGCGTCGGCCGGCGTCGCGACGCCCTCGCCTCCGTGCCCGGCATTAATATTACCGCGCCTCCAGCTCTTCCGTGCTAAGGAAAAACGCCATATGAACCTTCAGGCGTTGCCAAATTTCGATTGAACGAATTTTCTAGTAAAAGTAATTTTCCTTGCTCGAATCGTGCTCTAATTTGCATCATAAGCCTTGAAATTGCACCCTGTCTAGCATCTACTGGTCCATTTATCAGCTACAAACAAGTTAATGCAAACCTCCCGCTCATGAAAAAACAAAAGTCTAAGAGAGTCAAATCGCGCACTCGACGTTAATGTAAAAGTCTTCGCGGTATGAAACTATGAATACTATGATAATCTCGATGTGTAACTCTCGATAATCTTAAACAACTCAAGTGTGGAAAGAACGTAGTTCTATTAAGGAGCCTGCCAAAACCGTGGGAATGCACAATTTAATACGTTTTTCTTGTGAGCGGGAAGTTCAATTTTCCCGTAATCGATGCAATGTAAACCAAAAACGTTAACATTTTAGTTAGGAAGTGATTTTAGTAATTTTCCTTGCTCGAATCATGCTCTAACTTGCATCATAAGCCTTGAATTTGCACCCTGTCTAGCAGTTACTGGTCCATTCATCAGCTGTAAACAGTTGCATCCAAGCGCATCAGCGCAGTTCACTTTTCCCCTGTCTGTGTAGAGAAGGCCAGTGCGCCTTCAATTACTCGCCTATGCAACACAGACATCCATCGAGTATGAATAGTTGTATTTGCAGGCGTTGCTTCACCATCAGCGCTGCGCACTCGTTTCTACTGTTCTTAAAAGGATCACCAGGTCGCCTTCAATTATTGCACTATGCAACACGGGCATCCATCGAGTACGAATAGTTGTATCCAAGTTTTGGTGCAATACTTGAAGGCGCACCGATGATCCTTTTAGAATAGCTGGAACGAGTGCGCAGGACTGAGGCAACGCCTGGATACAACTATTGCCATGGATGCCCGTGTTGCATCGGTGCGTAATTGAAGGCGCACTGGCTTTTCTTACACCGATAGTGCTGCCTTGATAGCGAAGAGAGCAGTAAATGTCAAATTCTCGAAATTGAGTTTCCTTCAAAATCCGTTTGATCTCTTTTGGATGAAATCACTGAAATGGTTTCAGGACATTTTGTCAACGATTTTTTGTCCGTGCACCTTTTTGTCCACTAGTCCACGCCCACACATAAAATAAGCAACGGTGACTTGGTCCAAGCGTTATATTTTAGTCGGAATGTAAAGTTGTATTGACAATATGGAAATGAGAAATTGAGAGAGAAGTAGGTATTGTTATGGTTGCTCATTTTTTTAAATGAAATATTACTACTTTCTCCTTTTGAATAATCTTTTTAAATTGTCATTGGTGAATATTTGGTTTTATTATGTACAATATACCTTATATATGTATCGGTACTTTTTTATATTTTTTTAATTTTTTCTTTACGAAATTATTACTTTATTTTGAAAACATTTATATTTTTAAAACGTGACAAATATTCGTAAAACCTTTTCCAAGTGACATGCGGCTTTTCCAATAGCCGCAGTTGTGCCGACAGAAACTGCAAAAATGAATAAAAGAGGGAAAAAAAAACCAAGAAGCACGCAATCTTTAGTTTTAACCCATTTGTACATCGATCTTTTAGAGTCAAATACGTCAAATTTTGAGCGTTTGGTTGCGCGTACACCTCGTTGCAGCACGCAGTAAAAGCACAAAATGTAAAAGGAAAAATTAAAGTGCTTTGGAAATAATTAAATTTGACACGGAACCACCAACATTTAAATAAAACACACATTATATCATTATTCTCCGTTGATTAATTGATACATATTTTTTTCCCATCAATTTAAATGAGAATAATCAATGCAGAGTGTGCAAACATTTCAAAATCATGAGTTAAAAAACGCTGACTATGCGAGTATAAATATTAAAGCCTAACAGAGCGGAGCGGCGTGCTGCCAGCGCGAGAGGCTCACTGGCGCCAGCGCCTACAAACCTAAGTGGATTCTTCACGCATTGCACAATGCTTGAAGTATCCACTTAGGTTTGTAGGCGCCACCGCGCGTTCCGCGCAGGCCGCCCGCCCGCCGTGCGGCGGCGCCTGAAGCAACTATTTCACAACAGAAGTGTTGCTCAGTATCATACGAAATTGAACGCATTAAGAATGACAGGCATCCTTTAAAAGTACAGACCTTTCCTCGCAAAATAAATCAAGATACTTATCGTACACAGGAAAAATCTAAGAGCCTTTAGCTGCGGTAAATGTATTCGATCTATCGAATACGATCGATAGAGACAGTCCAGTTGGGCTAACGCTCATCAATAATCATTGGGCAAAAGATGTCTGTTGCTTTTCAGAGGGTCAATCGATATCCTTGTGAGAATCGCGATGGAAAACATCATACTTACACCTCATTAGACATCAATCTTCTCATGCGGTTTGATCAACGAGTAATGAGCAAAATTTTCTCTCGCAGCTGCGTATGCACCGTCGCATCCTCGATGGGATCAAAATCGAAGTAACCTCATTGCTGTTGTACGAAACCGGCATAGCCGCATTCAATGAGTTTATATTTCGTGATTTCCAAAAGGGTGAAATTCGCATTCCTTAAATGCCCTCTCTGATCAATCTTGCTCTACATATGTCGCAGGCAATCAGCAATTGCCGGCAATTTGCAAGCGGTTCACACGTTATTTCAATAAATCGCAATAATGCGCATCGGCATGATGCAATTTTTAAGGGTTATGGTCTTCAAAAGTATGAGCACGGCTTGAAGCGCCTTCATTTTATGTGATACTCTACGCTTTGTCACGATGTTAGTTTAGTTGCCTGTCCGATCTCAACCCAACTATTGTCACCGAGTTCACTACAAGCTCTCCTGAGTGTGCATATTCCTGCCATGTTTTTAGGGATGGAAAAGAGTTTATTCACATATAGGCATATTTGATTGATGATAGAGAATATTTGATTATTTGCCTAAGCATTTAACAAAATGCCTGTTTGAATCAGTGAGAACGAAAACACACCAACTCGGAAAAATGAAAATAATCAAGACACACACAAAACCGCGTAGTAGGTGAAGAAGTTACTTTAAGAAAAGGATTTTTGCTGCCAAAAGACAAGCACTTATGGACAATTTTTAGGTCCAAGTTGGAACAGATGCGCTAACTTCAACGACCTTTATGTAAATTAACTGTCTTTAATGGAAGTTGAGCATTTTCGAGTTACCGAGTTGGTGTGTTTTCATTCTCATTGATTCACACTGGAAAAAAAACACATTGGATCTAGAGCCCAGACTCTTGAAAACATCGACAAGAAAAACTACTCTTGATTCAATCGGATTTTTGCTTAAATCAAGAACCAAGCCTCTTAATTTGAGCGGATTTCCTTTTGATTTAAGCAAAAATCTGATTGAATCAAGAGTATTTTTTCTTGTCAATGTTTTCAAGAGTCTGGACTCTAGATACAATGTCTTTTTTCCAGTGCATTTGACTATTCGCCTTCGACAGATATACTCCTCCTTTTGGCAATTTGCGATAATATTCCACGGTTTTAGATCTCACAAAATTCTGAAACCCTGGAATGGATGCTTCGGTCGAGCGGAAATGTCTAGATGCCCGTGAACTCGGAGCGCTGGCGTTGTGACTTGCGGACAGAGAGGCGCTAAGAGGATTAAGACTGTACCAAGTACTAACCTCGGTTCTGGCGGAGTCCAGTATGAGAGTTTTCAGAACTGCTAAGGATTTATTGATTCTGGCCCTGCGCCGTTTTTCCATCAGCGGTTTGTTCGCCTGCAAACACACAAACCAAGATATCAGAACAATACTCATAAATTTCCCGATTCACCCAACTTGTCCGATCCCGCTGCGGGTCGATCATTGAAATCAGTGGCGTGCTTTTGCGGGCTATCGATTTATCTTGCGTTTAAACCCATGGAAAAGGATCGATAAACTGGGTGTTCGAAATAAACACATTGATAATCGATTTTTTAACATAGTTTCAAATGGGGAAAAAATCGATCATTCACGCCTTGCCACCACCGCACTAGAAAAAAAACACATTGGATCTAGAGTCCAGACTCTTAAAAACATCGACGAGAAAAAGTACTCTTGATTCAATCAGAATCTAGCTTAAATCGAGAACCAAGCCTCTTAATTTAAGCGGATTTCGTTTTGATTTAAGCAAAAATCCGATTGAATCAAGAGTATTTTTGCTTGTCGATGTTTCACTGGAAAAAAAAAAAACACATTGGATTTAGAGTCCAGATTCTTGAAACGATGGAAATGGAGTACATTTTGCAATGAGGAACAACTATCTCCAGCTCTTCCACAAAAGCACTTTCCTGCATAGGGAAACCAGTGGCTCATATGCTCTTTCCAACATGAGCCAGAAATACTGCTTTGATAGCGAAGAGAGCCGTAAGTGCAAACATGAAGTTCTGAGAAAACGGGCTCAGAAGCTTCTGACCGGAACATTTTATTGAAAGAAGCCTCCGTTCTTTGTCAAATTGCCACTATTCGTCCGGATGACTCCTAGAAATCGTATTGATGATTAAAAATCGACTGATTTTATTTCCATGACATAAAAAGGGCATTTTTCATTTTCATGCTAGGTTATTGTTAGGCAAGACAGCCGTAAGTGCTATCTTCTGCATGCTTTCGTGGTTGCGTTTTGGTCGCACAACAAACACATTTTCAGGTTAGAAATTGGCAGAAGAGGGCGGCACTTTACTGGAAAGCACTGTTTTCATTGGCTCTTATGCACCTACGGCTGTCTTGAAAAAAAAAACTGTGTCATTTTTTGTGCACTTACGGCTTTTACATACGTCTTGTTTTCATTAAATTAGGATGAATTTTGCTGTTTTAGCTGTCTCAGTAATTTCATCTGAAAGGAGTTTAGACGAATTTTGAAGAAAACTCGATTTCGAAAATTTTGCACTTACGGCTCTTTTCGCAACCACTGCAAAATACACTGAAAAAAAAGTAGCTTGGATCAAGCACGATAATTCTTGAATTTGCCGCCAAGAATTTTCTTTATCTTGCTTTAAGCTGACTTTTTCTTGATTCAAGAAAAATAATGCTTGGGTTAAGCAAAAAGGTAGCTTATATTAACCAGCAAAATTCTTGATTTAAGAAGAAATACTTCTTGGCGGCAAATTTAAGATTCTTTTTTTCCCAGTGATAGTGGTTCCTTATTGCAAAATGTGGTCCAAATATTCATGAATTTATCTGGAAATTCATGGTCTATCAATTGAAATTTGGCAACGCCTGAGGGCTCATACGGCGTTTTTCCTGCGCCCGGCGGAATTCCTGCGAGGGAAAACTACCCCCGAGACAGATGGCGGCGAAGGCGAAGCTGGAAGGCGCGCCTCGAGCCGGAGCCGGAGCGACTTCCCTTTTAAAATTGCAGAGGGCGAAAAAGCCCTTTTTCTCCCGGTTCTCGGTCCACCGGAGTGTTTCACTCTAATTCCGTCCCTTTTTTTCCCGCCTCCAGCCCCTCCACCCCCCCGTCCGCGTCCCGGCCGTCCCCCTAAATTTAACCCCCGCGTCAGCGGGGGGAGGAGGGGCGCTGCAAAATCCAGCATCTGCACGAGGCGAGTAATTGGGCTGAAACGCCCCCCTACCGCCCCCCGTCACAGCCGCACAGTGCGGCTTTCTTGTTGACGATGCCGACAAAAATCGTAAAAGGAGGAATACGTTAGAGTCCCTTTATACTGAGAGTCAAGACAATGTGAATCCATTTCTGATTGGTTCCCGTATTTTAGGCCTTCACAGTGTCACAAACGGGAATAAAGATTACATTTTCACCCATTGCAAAGATTATAATCTGGAATGGACCAGGGAATTACGGGTTCGGCAAGGAACAAACGGAATGAGAGAGGGAACGGAGAAAGGAATTTGAGAATGGGCCGATCAAAGATTACAAAAAACGTTCAATTTCTGTAATCTTTATTCCCGTTTGTGACTCCATGAGGGGATGTTGTCTTGACTCTCAGTATAAAGGGACTCTAGAATACGTAAGAGTTTCGGACTGATAAGATGCTGAATTTGGTGTCGTAGAATTCGAATGTAAGACCCAAGATAATCAGTGAGAACGAAACACACCAATTCGGTAATTCAAAAATGCTCTTTTTTCACTAAGGACAGACAATTTTCATAAAGGTCGTCGGAGTTACCGTATCTGTTCCAACTTGGACATTTAAAGTGTCCTTAAGTACTTGCTTTTAGGCACCACAAATCTTTCTCTCGGACTAACTTCTTCACGTAATGTATAGTTTTGTGTGTCTTGATTATTTTCATTTGTTCGTTTCATCGTTTGTTGCTTGCCGAACCTGTCATTCCCCGGTCCATTCTAGATTACAACCTTTGCAATTGGTGAAAATGTAATCTTCATTCCCGTTTGTGACGCTGTGGAGGCCCAAAATCCGGGAACCAATCAGAAATGGATTCACATTGTCTTGACTCTGAGTATAAAGGGACTCTATGTGCGGCGAGCCGCGGGGGTAGCGGGGACGAGCGGGCGGTTCGCCTCGCGCTCCGTGCCAAACGCTATCCCGCAAAACCGGAAAGTAAAAACAACGCCGGGGTTTAAAAGACGAGTCCGTTAATCGTCCGCGCCACCCCCGCCCCCGATCATTTCCGCCCCCTCACCCTCCCCGCCCCCCGACCCCCTTCCGCCTGATGCCGGCAAGCTTCATCGCTCGCGACGCGACCACCGCCTTCCTGCGATATTTCTCACAATGAGACTCCCCCCCACCCCCACCCACC